CTTTACCTCCAGGAATATATATATGTAACTGTGAATAAGAGCCTTCAATTAGTAGATTTATCCATTAGTTCTCAACTTTAGTATTACTTTCCAACTTTTAAGAAGTAAATTTTCTCTTTTAAGAGCATGTTAGTTATGTTCTCAATATGTGGGCATGAATTCTAACATCGTCTACAAATAAATAAAGAAGTAATTTGATATTTTTACCACTACTTAGAATTAGGTACTTCGTGAGATTGACGAGTTAAAACTTGATCCTGTTGAAATAAAAATCCAAGTAATACATTTTCTGGCTCTATGGGAGAGGACTCGTGTCTTCCTAAGATTTTAATAACTAAAATCTAACCACAATTCTATCTGTTTTGTCTCCAATTTTCTTAGGGTTCAAGTGCTCCAGTAACAGTCTTTAAGGGATCCAAAAGGCCATACATGAAAGAATGCATCCTCATTGTAAACCACGACACAGGAGAGTACAGACTAGAAAAACTCAACAGCAATATAGCTGTGAAGAAAACCAGGTTGGTTGAAATATTGTTTCAATTCAAAAATGTATTGAAGAGTACTATAGATTTAAAAAAATATTTTCTTTATTCCTCTTTCCATTTACTTTAATAAAAAAGCTACAACAAAATAAATGTTGATTTTAAGCTTGACTGAGTTTGTTTTAAATGCGCTAAATAAATAAATTTGACTTGACTCTGTTACACTACTCAACATTAAAATAAGATTTGCTGGAATAGTTAATGTGATCTTGTAACATCCTCTGCTCAAGAGACATGCAGTGGGTCAGAATTTAAGAAATTATCTCAACTTGTACTGCATTTATTGTACCTTTTCACTTGTGATTGTTTGCACTGTGCTTGTTTATTCCCAGGGCTGAGGGCAGCAGTAAGATTCATTCTCGAATGGAGCAGCAAACCAGTCGCCTCAGCCAGCAGGTGAAGAGCAGCAGCAGCAGCAGCAGCAACAACAACAACAACAGCAGTAGCAGCAGCAGTAACAAAACCTCAACCAGCTCAAAGAGCTCTCCTCCTAAAGAGAAGACCTCCCCGGCATCCCCCATGGATGACATTGAGCGAGGTGACAGACACAATGTTTTGAACATTTTAAATTGTTGTAATTGTGGCAGATTAGTGACCCTGCCAGTGTCACCCATGTCCTCACCTTTTTATCCATGCCTCTATGTTCAGAGCTGATGGCTGAGGCGCGGGTCATGGACCAGCTCAGCAGCGGCGACAGCTCCTCAGACTCCAACAGCTCCTCATCCAGCAGTGATGACAGCTCCAGTAGCAGCGACTCAGAAGACGAACGGACTTCTGCACCACCGCCAGCCCCAGCCCCGGCCAACCACAGCATGCCTATCATCAACACCATCAGCAACACCAACAGTCTCCACCAGGAGAGTGGAGGAGGACTGATGAACACACTTAGTAAGTAGCCTTTTCAGCTTCATCTGAGTATTTGCTGCATTGGGATTATCTCATGGGGCTCCAACTGCACCCAAATAAATATCCTGACAGGTAGCTGTATGCAGATTTAAAAAGCAGTCGTAACCAGGCTTTCATAGGGATCCCTTAGAACAAAGATGAGGAAGTAGTTTGGCAGTTCAATAAAATCATGAAAGCAGCCATGAATGACATTTTATGTGAATATTGTTTGCTTCTACAAAATCATAAAAAGCTCACATCACCAGTCCAATTCTAAAACATAAGTTAGTCTCTTGGTTTGTCTCTGTTTGCAAAGGGTTTTACCAACAGGCCCAGAATTTGCAACCAAGCAACACAATGAATTGTGTGCTGATACCTGCCCATTTTGTGAGATAAACTGCTGTGATTGGCTCAACCATGGCTATGTTATCCGAATGTGAGGAGGCCCATGGGCATCTCCCAGGGCAAAGTAACATGAGCTCACAGATTTCTTTGTCGAACATCAATTGTATTTGTTTTCATCTTTGAAATACCAACAAAATAGACCAACATGTGTGTTCTCATGGCTTTTTTTCAGAGAATGACCTGCAGCTGAGTGAATCAGGCAGTGAAAGTGACTGAACAACACGAGGAGGTGCACCTGCCTGTGAACACCCTGAGGATTTCAGTGAGGAGTCAAAACAGCAGCAGACATATCAGTGCTTTGCTTCCTATAATGTGAGACTGTCTTACTTTCATTTCCACAATCCTGCTCGCTATGACCTTGTTTGCCTTTCTGACAACAAACTTTCTAATTTAATTATATCCCATTTATTTCTCCATGATCTTTATTTTGTGTGTGTGTGTGTGTGTGTGTGTGTGTGTGTGAAGACTGGATGTAACAGAGATGCCTTAGTCACGAGAGACAGATGTGGATGTGATGCATGAGTGGCAGTAAAACTGAAAACCTTTGTGTAACGTTTCACCTCACTGGATGTCACCCTAACCTGACCGAGCATATCAAAGCCAGGGTGACAGAGGTGGTTGTGTAAACGGGGCAGAGGTTTGTCTTAATGAACCCTTGGAGGTTCAGCATTTCAGCTTAGTCATAAAATAATAAAAGGCTTAATTATGCCTTAGTTCAGGTCAGTTAACAGATTGGGTTCAGCAGAAACAGAATATTTGTGATACAGTGATTTAACAGATTGTTTTATTTTCATCTTATAGAGTTTATGTGACGTTAGCTTCAGACCCTTTTGATTCGGATTACTGGAACCCGGCTAATTTATTCAAAAACTGCAAACTTAAAATTGACATTTTGTCCATTTTGGAGACCATAGAACAAGCCAAAAACTTAACATTGATGTATGATCTCTTTAGAAATGTGTTAGGACAAAAGTGGTAAAAAACAGTTGCTGACTTGCACACCTAAAAGTCAGAGGAGAGCTTTTATTTGTTACTCCTTTGTGGTTGCGTTTCCTCCAAACTTAAGATGCAAATGAAATATTTACTCGAGTTCTGTTTTAATATCGCCTCAGAAAAAGTCTCTGAGCCTCATTGGCTGCTGGACGCTTCCTAATTTTACAAGCTTCATCCGCCTGCTGTTTCACATCAAAGTGGAGATGCCTTTTTAAGACTGGAAAAGTGTTGATGAGCAGCTTTATGAGTTGAAAGGCTGGCTCTAAACCTGCAAGAGAGCCCTTGCATATATTTTTACGCATTGTTGCAAAAAGAAAGTTCATGGCTAATGCAGCTTTAAGAATAAAAAGAGGTCTCAAACTTTAAGTTTTGCATTATTTCAGAATATAAGGGCGTCTGATTTCTGCAGACTAGTAGGCATTCTGAGTTATCTCAGTTGGGGTCATGCTTTGTAGCTTTAAACCTGCAATACTTGAATCTAATTATTTATGTTTAAAATATATTCGACCAACGGCGAATCGCTTAATATATTCGGTGAAGACCTTGAAAGCAAAGAAATTGGAATTGCAAGTTAGTAGAAGCTGTATTACAAAACAAGCCAGATGTTTTGATACTTCAATGTGAGAGTCTTAAAAAAAACTTGATGTGCCTTCAGGCTCTCTGCTTGTTTTAACACAAGCCCTCTTCTCTCTGCTGAGCTGCCTATGCATACAGGAAGCTGCTGTTTCTGTCCCAGCCTTTTCTGTCTTTGGAGTCCTGGCTGAATAACACAGTGAGAAGAAGAAATCTGATTTAGAAAAAGTGAATATTTGTAGTCTTAAGAAGGATGGTGGCCTCAGAGCATTATTTGTAAACTATTTGGGAGTCATTTCTTTGTGGAAAAATAAAGATTTTAATGGTTGTTTTTTTTTGCAGTTCCATTCATTATTCACTTATGTAACTATGTTGAGTTTATTTTTTGTTGTTGACTTCTTTCAGTTTATTATTAACATCATGTAAAACCAAAAATGATAGATTACCTATCTGTTCACACAACATAATAATGAAATGCAATCTACTGCTTTAAAATAAGAGAAATTATGTATGATTATCAAAAATAATACTTGGATGGAGATTAAGGTCGAAGGGAACAGGGGGTGCCGGTAGCCTATAGTGGTTAGTGCGTGCCGCATGTACCAAGGCGTGGTCTTTCAGGCGGGTGGCTTGGGTTTGGGTCTGACCTGTGGCTCTTTTCAGCATGTCTATCCCCACCTTCTCGCCCCGATTTCTGACTATCCACTGCCCTATCCCTAAAATAAAGGCAAAGATTAAGGGGAACAGGGTGCACCGTTAGCCTAGCACCCCACACAGAGGCTGAAGTACTTGAGAGCGGGTGGCCCAGGTTCAAATCCGACCTGAGGCTCCTTCCCCACATGTCACACATGCATACGTATAACGCCTAATGATGTAGCATTTGTTTGTTAACTTAGCACATTTTGATAAAGTAAAAATTCAACACTGTTCAGGCTGTAATAACACTTAAATCTCAAAGACAAAGTGATCCATATATTGTTCATAAATGTTCTAAATTCAGATTGAGACAACTTAATTTATCCTGGGAGGGCAATTTGATTCACATCCTGCTAAGTTACATAAACTCATTGAAGATAAAACATAAAACAGACTTGGATTGAACTATTCATCACACAGCGGGTTAATATTTTGTGGATCTGTATGGATCTTGTGAATTTTGTAACTTGAATTACTGTAAGAATGGAAGTCAAAGTTCAAAGTTTCACTGACAGCTTGAGATAGCCTTAAAAAAAAACAAAAAACAGTCAGCATCTATGAATTATAAAACAGAGAGCAGCCTCTTATTCTGTTCTGAAAGTTTAAAATGAAACCCACTGTAGGATCATTGTACTCTTTGATGTTTAAACAAATTCCGCTTTGTTCTGATAATAAAACTTTTATTATGAAAAACGTTCCCAAAAGAAGTAGATCAATAATATTGAAAATAAGGCAACAACAACAAAAAAAACAAAACACAAGATGAAGGTTCAAGTACAAGGCAAGACAAGTCCACACAGGAAACCGGTTAGAGGGGGTGAACAGTTGACTGTTTTCAGCAGCATTAGTTAATGTGTTTATGACTCTTGTTGCCTCTCTGAGGAAGTTCAGAAGGGTACGAAGTTCATCGTTTTGCACGTAGCTTTTGGATATGCGGGGGCTATAAATAGACGCTGTGCTGCGAACACAATCAGCCATTATCATCAGCCTGCGCATCACGGAGCCGCTCACCGGGACTGCACGGCTTGCGGAGAGAAACAGACTGCGTTGGTCTGCGGGTAAAATGTTCAGGAAATCGCTTCTACATTTTGGACTGCGGAGGAACCGTGAGCGGTGTCACGGGCTTCAGAGAGTCACCGTTAATTATGGGGACATTCACCGCCTGGACGCATCTTCCGCCGCCGTGATGGGTGCCAACGTCAAACCGAAAACTATGGACGATCTAGGCGGACCAAGTTTTATGGCCACCTTAAACTGGCTGTTTGTAAAGGGGTATTTCCAAACGACGCAACAAATGCAGGTAAGTGGGGTGTGATTGGGGGGGGGGCTGACGTACACACAGGATGTGTTGTGACCTGTTTCTCCTACATTTTGACAGATAGTGCGCTACTGCAGGTTTTTTCAGTTGTTTTTTTTTCTTATCTCTAACACAGATTTCTGCATTGACTTTCAGTGCATGCAAACTGACTGCAGAATAAATTATCTGTTCACCCAGATAACCTACGTTATGTGTCAATACACCGTTTTGGGTTTGTGTGCATTGTTTTTTTGCGTCTTGAGATGAACTGACTGACCCCAGTACAATGGAGGTTACCTCTGTTTGCACATCTGACAGCCCATTTAAAATCACGTCCTTTCACTCACTGACATTCTCTGTAGCATAAAGTTGCACTCTTGTTCTCTCAGCTAAGTGGGACACAGGTCAGTCTCATAGGACTATAGATAATAGTGGATTATGAGACTCCCTGGGCCAGGAAATGTAAAAGGAACCAACCCTAAAGTGGAGAAAAATGCGCTGTTAGTGTCAATTCAAGTGATTTTGTGATTCTGTTTATATTCAAAGTTGTGCTTGGCTGTAGTTCAGTAATTGCTTCATTGTTGTTGTCGTTCCTCTTTTTGGTTTTCTTGTGTCTTATTTGTTTGCAGTCTTTTTTCTTGTAGTATTTCTGTTTATTTTGCATGCCTGTTTTTGTTTCCACCCTGTTTCCCTCTGTCTCCTTGAGCACATTTGTTTCCTGGTTGTCGTTTTTGTGTCTCTTGGGTGTTGTCATCATGTTGTCTCCTTGTGGTCATTATGTCCATTGTTGTCTTGTAGTTTTTGTCTTCTTCTCTTTGCAGTTTTTTTTTTTCTGTCCTTTGTTGTACTTGTTGTTGTTGGGGATCGTTCTCTGTGAAAAGTGTTTTTTTCCGTGCTAGTTTATGAAATCCATAAAGTCCATAAAGTCCATAAAATGTAAACAGTCACTTGAAGCAGAGGAATGTTGGCTTGGTCCCCTGTGTGTGCAGTTACCCATCTTTGGCTTTTTTTTTTGAGTATTAAATACAATGCCATCCCTTCAACACAGATGCTCTTGCTTGGATGTTGGACAAAGAAACACTGCAGGAGTGCCCTCTAAGTTGCCCTACAATAAGATCAAATGTGATCAGGCCTAGTGATCAACAGAATGTAATGAAGTGTTCTCCAGGGTGTCCTTTCAGTGGGGTGCCCTTTCTTCACAGCTTTCTTGTATATAGTAAAAGTTCAATCAATAAAGATCATTTGAGATACAATAGACGTAGTTGAGAAATATTTTAGTTTGAGTTGGGTGACCCGACCTCAAAAGCTTGAATTACACATCAGTTTTCCAGGTGACAGTGTTGATTGTTTTCTGATTCCAGTTGCCAACAGGTTGCATTATTAAAAATCAAGTGTTTTGCTGTTTCAGTACACACCTGTTTGTTTATTTTTGCTCCCAGATTGAGCACAAAAAGATCTACGGTCCTTTGTGGAAGTCGAAGTATGGCCCTATTATCCTTGTGAACGTTGCCAGTGCCAACTTCATAGAGCAGGTGTTGAGGCAGGAGGGCAGACATCCAGTGCGCTCGGACATGCCCCACTGGAGGACCTACAGAGAGCTCAGGAACCAGGCCTATGGACCCCTGACAGAGTGAGTGAAACCCCCATTCACCATTTAGCTTTATGTCTAATTTTCCCAATCCATTCTGCACCCTTGGAAGTTGTCATGCTGTTATCTACTGTTTAAAAAGACAAGAAAACCAATATTCTTTCAAATACAATCTTGATTTCTGAGTAAGACGTTTCCCTGCAATGTAATGTGCAGAGGTAAAAGTAATCGGGGCGCAGGTAGCGTAACACATGTATGAAGGGTTTAGACCTCCAGGCGGGTTCAGGTCCGACCTGTGGTTCATTTCCTGCACGTCATTCCGCACTCACTCGCCCTTATTTCAACTCTATCCGCTGTCCCAGCCATAAATTAAATCTTTAACTAAAAAAATAAGTTAAAGTCATGGTTGTTAAAAAGTAGCAAGCACACCTGCACAAGAATGACTTGTCATTTTGTCTGTCTCCCTCATTTGTGGTGCTTTTATGTGTCGACAATATACATACAGTCAGTTAGTAAGTGGACTTTGAAAACTGGGGGGGGGGTGTGATATGTGATAAAGAGCTGTATTATAAACAGACTTTCTATGAATTCAAATTAAACATGATTCTAAATCATTACAGAAACTCAATTTGCGGATACAGAGGAAAAAAACACTAAACACAAGTATTAAATGAACACAATGCACCCTTTAACATAACCATGGATTTGATACTAATGGATGGGATCACATTTTAAAATAATTAACTGATGTACATTGAAACCCCTTTTCACCGTTACTCCGGGCCTGTCATTACTTTCTGTGGACAGATCCCCTCTAGAGCAGGTCGAATGTTTGAAAGTGTTGGCAAATCCACAAAGGCTTCACAAGAAGCTAATGCCAGGAATTAGCATCATGTGACCGTGTACTTGTATCGGATCAATTCAGGGCTGGCTTTGGTCCCTTTGGATTTCGGGGACTGTAATAAAGTGTCATCCTTACGGAAAATAAGAGTTTGTTCATTGTTTATGTGGCTTTATTTCTTCAATACCCTGCACTTGTCATACTTATTGCTTTATTTCTTTCATTAGTTATATTAGTCTGCTTCCTTCATACCTTCTGACCTTCATCAGTCAGAAGAGTACAGGGACTTACAATCTACGATCTCAGGACCTTTTCTTACTGTCCGTTCCAAAAGTCAGAACTGAAAAAAAGGAAAAAAAGGTTTACTGCTCCCTTTACTTGGAGCAAATTACAAAAAGAGCCGAAACCTTTTAAGAGGATGTTAAATGACTTGGAGGCAGCTGTAGATGTTCTCCATGATGTGTTTGTGGACGATCTTGACAAACATTTATTATTTACATTTGTTATTTGTGTCTTTTAATGTCTAATAATGTACATCTTTTTTTGTGTTTGTACGTGTGGCTGCTCGTTGTTTGTGTGAAACTTTGTAAATCGTGCCAGTACGCTCTTGAAAAAATAGATTTTTAATCTCTACGAGTTTCTTACAAGTTAAAGTCCTACTTCTCTATTGTGTATCTCAAACCTTTATTTATTCTCGAAGAGGACACTGAGGTTTCCCACATTTTCAATGCAACTGTATAAAAGCAACTGTGAGGCCTGAATGACCCTCCAGGGATTAATAAAGTATTTCTGATTGATTCTGAGATGGAGACAAATCCTAATCATTAATCCTGCTTTGCAGAATGGGTGCAAAGTGGCTGCGCATCCGCAGCATCCTGAATCCTCGCATGTTGAAGCCCAAACACGTCTCGTCCTATGCCAACACCATCAACCAAGTGGTATCAGACTTCATCGAGAGGGTGGCCTGGCTGAGGGAAACCAATGGGCAGGGAGTGATGGTCAATGACCTGACTGGAGAGCTCTACAAATTTGCTTTTGAAGGTCAGCAGACAACAAACAGATGACATGTCCTCATTTACACTGCCGCGTAAAGTCGCCTTTCTCAAATTCAGATTAGTTACAAAGAGGTGAAAAATGCATACCATTCAGCAGAGGCCTGTTTAGAGTCTCAGAAAAAAAACTGTGCACAATCATAACTGAACACAAATTCCAGTGGAAAATGATTTGAGAATTACAATATTTTTATCTTGAAAGCACAAGATCTTACAAGACAAAACCAAATATCAGTCAATCGATCTTTGTTTCTATAGCACCAATTAATAACAAATGTTGTCTCAAGACACTTCACAAAAGAGCAGGTGAAAGACTTTACTTAAAAGACCCAACATTAATCCATCATGAGCACTAAGCAACACTGTAAACAAAGTTACAGTGGAGAGGAAAAACATTTACTTTAATAATAATAATAATTTATTATTCCTGTGAGGGGAAATTTGTTTTTACACTTGAGCACCCTCCAGTTCCCAACCCTGGTCCCTAAAGACTGAGCTACTGCCGCCCCAAGAGGTAGAAGCCTCAAGCAGAAGAAGACTCATGATGAACAGCCGTCTGCTGAAACTTGGTCAGGCTTGATAAGTGGGATAGAGGGAGATGTAGGAGGAAGGAGAAGCATAGAGACAGATATAGTGTCAACAATCTGTGACACAAGAACAACATGTGCAATTTGAGATAATCAAGTTGACAACCGTGGTAGATAGTAGCAGGAAATGCCATCAGCTTTGATTTGAGTGTTGACATTTGACATTTCACCAGTGCAGACCTCTGCACCTGTCTGCATGTCTTGTTCTGTTTCTGCTTCACTGTCTGCTGAGAGATCGCTGGAGATCTCACATTCCACCTTTACATCCAAGTTAAGGGGCCGTGTGAGAGAAACGTGTCCGTATGTGCCATCATTCCAGGTGTTGACAGACATTGACACATCTGTTGTCGAGTGTTTTAGGCCTTGAAAGCTGATAAGATAAATGGCGAGTTACCTTATCACAAAGACAGGTTTGAGCATTTACTTATCAGGTTGTAGTTTACATGCAGCTCTCATAAAAGATGACCAATTCATGAAGGACAAAGGAAGGATTGTTTTGATTCTGCTCAAATATATATCTTTATATTCTTTAAAATATCTATTTCAAATGACTTCTTTTTTATAGTTAAATTGCATATATTTAAAAATCTTTGACATTAAACGTGTAATTAGATGATAAAAACCAAATACTCGACTGTGAACTTTCTTTTTTATGAGATACTGCCATTTTTATGGAACTAAATTATTCCCCTAAAATATATTAGTTTAAATCAAGTATATTCAAAAAAATGACTTTTGAATGAAGTCTGAAAAAAGAAGGCATGCTTAGAGAACAATTCAACATGGAGAAGTTTCAGGCACACAAAGGGTTAAAGAAACAGTTGTGTGATGAAATATTTGCTCTACTCCTAGACAGTGTAGACAGAGTGTCCTAGAAATGCAGAGCACCATGTTTAAAGAGCAGCTCTGTTTACATAAAAAGCACAATAAATACAAAATCAAGTGAGCCGCTTTTAGCTGCTCTAACCTCAGCAGAAAGAGGGAAAGCAGGCGTTAGCAGCTAGCATGGCTAATAAGAATCTTGTTAGATTTTTTAAAATGTAAATTAAATCTAAATATTGTAAATGTACAATACTTTATTTAATTTTAGTCCCTGGAGTTTTTGTTCCCATCAGAGCCACACTCACTTTTGCTCACTCTGCTTAGACCAGCTGCTAGCCTAGCTAATAAGAATCATGTTTGTTGAATCTTTTTTAATTGAAATTAAACATAAATAATGTAAATGTAAAATACTTTAATTTGTTTGTTTGTTACCTGGGTGATTTATTCCCATCAGAGCTTAATATTTCCCGCTTTTAAGATTCTTAGAGCTAAGCTAACCAGCTGCGAGCTGTATCTTCCTCATTGAATGTGTGATAGGGTGTTGATCTTTATTAATTTACTAAAAGCTATAAATTGTAAAATACTTGAACAACAGAGTGCCGGTGTTGCACATGGTAAATAAACTTAACATGTAGAGAACACTGTAAACATTATTCTCTGTACTTATGCTAGCAGGATGAGTTTTGTTGTGGTTTGGTGAAGTGTCCTTAGCTTCCTTGAAGAGAGTTCTTCATTTTTAAAGCATAAAAACTATATTTGAAACAAAGGTTTGAGAAGATCCTCCAACCCCTGAAAGAAGAGAAGTTAAGGTTGTTGCTGTAGCCGATCTAATCTAAGGTCTAAGAGGTTTTGGGATGACATGTTCATCAATCACTTAGAGTTGTAATTATTAGTTTTTCACTACAAGACCAGTTTTTTAAGCTCTGTGTGCTCTGGAATGAAGGCCATTACAGAACCCTTTAACACCTGTTTTGTCCTGGGATGGTGACAGAGGCCAAGCAGTCTTTATTTAACTATGTTATGTTTAACTGCAGGGATCTGTTCGGTGTTGTTCGAGAGCCGTATGGGCTGCATGAACAAAGAAGTGCCCGAGGAAACACAGCAGTTCATCTTCTCGGTGGGGGAAATGTTCCGCCTCTCCCCAATCCTCATCCTCTTCCCTAAATCCACCTGGCCCTACCTGCCCTTCTGGAAAAAGTTTGTGGCAGCGTGGGATTATCTCTTCAAAGTGGGTACGTAATGTTGCTGATCAACTGTTGTGTCTTTAAGCTATTCTGCAACACATGTTCATGTTTGGCATTGTCATGTACTTTATTAATTTTATATTCAAGAAAGCACGTAGAATAGAGTGATAAAATATTCTAAATATTTTAAGGCTGCAACATTTGATCAATTACAGACTTTAAACTTTATTATGACTTTTTACACACACGATTTTTTTAATCTGTCAGCCGCTGTGGCTCAGTTGGTAGAGTCCCCATGTACGAAGGATCTCTTCCTCCAAGCAGCCTGGGTTCAAATCTGACCTTTGGCCCCTTTCCTGCATGTCCTTCCCCACTCTCTCTCTCTCTCTCTCTCTCTCTCTCTCTCTCTCTGGTTTCTGACTCTATCCACTTTCCTGTCTCTAAAAAAGGCATAAAAAGCCCCAAAACCAACAAAAAGTAAATATTCTTACTATCTGCAAAGGTTGGTAGACTTATAAGTCTTCATGTCTGGCTTTCGTCATATGGACATCAGGAAGAACAAGGAGGAGGCACGTCGAGTCAAAGTCAATTTCAACACCAAGAATAACAGATAATTCATACACAATGTCATACAGTATCTTTAAACTTGCATGTTGAATGACTTAATGCCACATTTTATAAAGGAAAAGCTTCAACTGAGTGATCTTTTTCTCAAATTAGTAAAATAAGTTTCCACTCCTTTTCAACCATGGCACCAATAATCACTTTCATTTGTGACCAAGTCTCAGCTGGCCCCTTTTGGCCCATTGAAAGCTGCTCAGTTCCCTTCATCTGAAGCCCTGGCAGCGATAGCACTCCTTCAACAATCCTGTCTGAGCCCCTCCTCCATTCCAGATAGTTGCCAGAAAAGGTTACTAGAGCTCAAACTTTGTGGTTAATTTCCAGTTGCGTAATCGAATAACTTTGAAACCAGACTCAGTCAAAGGACAAACATCACAGGTCCTCCGGTCCACATTTTGTCCTTCACAGTGTATTGTTTTCACCAACTACATGTACAGGACGATAGTGTCACGCTAGTCAACTCTTAGTGTTTGTTCTCCCGTTAGAAAATGAAATGATGGATTTTGTCTTGTGTCCAATAGCTGAAGAGTTGGTTCATGGCAAAATGAAGGAGATTGAGGAGAAGGTCGACCTGGACCAGAATTTGGAGGGCGCGTACCTCACACACCTGCTGCTCAGTGATCAGATGACGGTCACTGAGATCCTGGGCAGCATTACTGAACTCCTGCTGGCAGGAGTCGACACAGTAAGTAGATCCTGAACGTTCTATTTTTAAACCAAGTTAATATAAAATCAGTGCTGACTGAAGGGGCACAAAACAGACAGATGTTCCTCTCTATTGCAGACCTCCAACACTATCTCTTGGTGTTTGTACCATATGGCCAAGGAGCCAGAAATCCAAGAAAAGTTATACCAGGAGGTTATAAGTGTTTGCCCCGGAGATAAGGTGCCAGTCAGTGATGACATTTCTCACATGCCATACCTGAAGGCTATCATCAGAGAGACGCTACGGTTAGAAGGATTCTTTTCTTTTTTCAGTATGTGATATCAACAATACACCTGATTGTAGCTTGCTGCCCCTAAAGGTTTACATGCACAGTTGAGCTACGGTTATACAAGCACCAGGGGGGAATCGATTTATTGACAGAAGTAGGTGGCTATATGCCGTAGCTTATTTTCTGTAGTTCTGTCTGGCTTTGTTGAACAGACAGATCTAACTTGAGTCAACCTCTTACTGTGATCTTTGCTCTCCAGGTTGTATCCAGTGGTACCAGGGAACGCACGGTCTCTGTTGAAAATGAGGTTGTGGTCGGAGATTATATCTTCCCCAAACATGTGAGACAAATGTCACACAGAGACACAAATGCTGAAAATGTTGGCCAATGAGAATGTTCATTTCATTTGAAATCACAAATATTTGAGCCTTAAAGCTACGACTCATAGCTTTGACCTACATTTCAGGTATGATTCTTGTTTATTCATGAAACTACAGTTACATTATAATAGGAATATCGTTCCTTACAGACCCTGTTCCACCTCTGCCATTACGCTGCATCCTACGATGAGAACATTTTCACTGACCCCCACACCTTTGTGCCTGAGCGCTGGCTGAGAGGAGTGGAGGAGAAGTCCAAGCAGCACCCTTTTGGGTCAGTTCCGTTTGGCTTTGGGATCCGGGCGTGTCTGGGCAGACGGTTGGCAGAGCTGGAGATGTATCTCCTTATGTCCAGGGTGAGAGCTTCTCTTCCTTTTTTGCTTCCCTAAACATAGTTCGGCTTTTTACAACTGTATGCATTATTCATGATGTCCTGCAGATTAAAAAGTAGAAGTCTATGTGGAATTTTTCAGTGATCACAGATAAGCATGCCAAGTGATTTCTTTTATTCCCCGCTCAAACCTCTGCATGCACAATGTCTTGAATGATAATGCATATCCAAAAACAAGAGATTTTCTCTCATTCAGACACAAGAGAATTATTCAGGTCAAACACTAGTGTTGGGTTTGTAAGGGCCTCGCTGCAGGTTGGCCAAGTGGGATTGAGGTCAGGGCTCTGTTCAGTCCAGTGCTTCCACACCAAACTGGGAGATAATTGGCTTGGCTTTGAGAATGAGAGCATGGTTGTACTCAAACAGGAAAAAAGTCCTTCCCTAACTTTGGCCACAAGTTTGGAAGCTACCCGTGATGTAACCAATATTTTCAATATCAAAATCAAATATCTGAGTTCCTTACCCTCTTTTGAAGGGTGAGCCCAACAGCCCTGCAGAAAGAACTGATTTTGATGGAGTATCCATAATCCCATTCTGTCAATCACTCCTCAAACTTTGTCAACATAGGTGAGGGATGAGCATAATGACTGGTTAATAAAAAAAAGGTTTGCTGTCCAGCTCCGCTTTCTCTTTACCACGATAGTACAGTGCATTGCCTGCAGTTCTACCGATGGCGCACCCACGAGGCTGTAAATTTTGCTAAATTTTCTGGCGAAGACTTGGAGGTACTGACGCTCCCTCTCAACTGCAGACGGCCCCATGTGTGCCGAAGGTCACAGTCTGATGATGAAGCCAACAGATCACCTGCAAAGATTAGAGACGCACCTCTGATGTCCTCAAATCAGACTCTCTACTCACAAACGCAAGCTTGCAGAGCTTAAAAATCGAATTCCATATTCTGACAGACCATTTTTCTCAGACCTCCGGGCTCTGACTCCTCTACCCCAAATGGGGGCTATGAGGGAACCGTGACAGCTTGGACTAGTCGTCAGTCAATCACAGAACCGACATAATCAGAAAACAAACATGCACTGACATTTGAGAGCATGTCTGTGCGCTGAGGGAGGAAGCCGGAGTACCAGGGCAAAATTATTCCTCCTAAAACTGAGTTAGCGCAAACTATCGGGTCGTCTTTCAAATGTTGTGGCAGTAGCTTCCCTGGGTATTATATCCACACACATTGCCAGTTTCATGGCTTTTCCATCTTTTGGTACACAGGCTGGTAGGAACAGCTGTTAATAGCCAAATCCAACCTTTTTGACTTGCTGACAGTAATCGTGATCTGGGCTTGGATTCAAGGTCAGGATGGAACCAGACGTTCTGACCAGGTTTAGACTTGGCAGAATAAGTTGTACTCTCCAATGTTCCCCCTACCATTGTATTGGAGGGGGCAAACAAACACTAAGAGTGGCCTGCCCCCCCCAACGGACCCCCCCGTCGTCGCCCCCCCGTCCCCCCTGAAGGTCAAGTAAAAAGATTTATTTTGGGGCTTTTTGTGTCTTTATTGTAGAGATATGATAGTGGATAGAGTCAGAAATCAGGGAAATAAGTCATTTAAAGATACCTTTCCAATAGAAAAGGACAGCTGTCATTAAAAGTAACCCATGAACACCAAGATTCCTTCAAGTGTTTGTGTCGTCGTGTCGCCGTGTCGGCATGTTAGCTTGTCCCCACCCCCCCCCAACGCTGTAAACCTATTGGAAACACTGCTCTCTAAGTTATTTCAACCATGTATTTATATAACCATAGAGCACATGAGGTAATTCATTGTCTAGATCAGTGATTCTCAAAGTGGCACGCAGAGCCCTAATGACGGGGGGGGTCCAGCGAGGCTCAACAAAAACATTGCACACCATTTTTCACTGCTAGCAAAAGCATGGCAACTTTTGTGAGAGGACCTCTAGGTAAATGTAAGGCTGAAAATGAATCTACACCTGACCTGTAAAGTGACAGCGTCACTTTAAATTCCGCCCTGTTCAAAAGTGGCTTGCTCGTTTTTTTATGTTGCTAGCCTGTAGCAAGGGGCTAAGGCCTCAGTCGAACCAACGACCACTGAAGTGAGGAAAATAGCCTCTGCACATGTGGTGTGCAACATGACCACTAGGCTATCCGGCTCCCCTCCCAAGAGTTTTATAGATTTATAGATAGATTTTAAAATGTAGGTGTTATTTGCTTTACCAGGAAACAAATGTAACTATTTTCCTAAATGCTTCTATTCTGAAGCACTAGTGTATAGAAATATCCTAAACCTCTTTCGGTTGTACCTTCTTTTTTTACTGTTTGCATCACTTATTTTTGTTTCCTGCAAGCCCCCAAAATTGTCACACTAGTTTGTAAGCCAGTTCAATAGCTCCCTCTACTTTTACTCCCCAGAAATCTGTTATTTTTCAGCTACATTCAGGGAGCCATACGACCTGCAGTCACTCCCCAGTCAGAGCACAAAGGCTGCTCTTCTTTTGTTAGTCTTGGCACTGTGATCCAAACAAACCACCAAGCATTCCTCCCACTTGGGACTCAGTCTTCAGCCAAAAATCCAAGTTACAATTCAGTCAGCTTACGAAAGCAGTGCGTAATTATTAACTCAAAAATCGACTGTCTGCCCTCTCTGTCTGCATTTTTAAATTAATATCCTGGCAAAAATATAATTTATTTTCTTTTGAAGTTGATTAAAACCTACGAGGTGAGGCCGGATCCTGCTGGAACAGACGTCAAGCCAATCACCAGAACCCTGCTCTGCCCTGCTACACCCATCAACCTGCAGTTTCTGGACAGAAGAGGGGAGCGGGAGGAGCCGAGGGAAGCCACCAGAGTCTCCCTGTGAGCTGTTTTAGTATTCACACTGTGATGTCTGCCTGTCACCAAGCACTTGTTTATAACACATTCACTTCATGAGGACTGGCTGGAATGTGACCTCAACTGAAACATGCAAAACACAGACTGATTGAAAATGTGAAAAGGTTGTACAGAAGGAGTTTTATTTTATACAACTTGATGTTCTTTGGTTCTCATCTTTTGCTTGGCTCCTAGCATTTCATAAAGCAGATTGTCTCTGTGGTCTTTCAGTGTTTTTAATGTGACTCAAACAGGAAACATGAGGAGGTTTTAAGCTGCTGAATTGGAATGAGTCAATTTTAACTACACAGCTAGCTCATTGAAGAAACATTTTTTAGACAACAGTGAGCCCTAGTGGAACAAGATATCATGATTTGGATAAAAGGACAGAAGTGGTTTTCTTTGTGGTATCGTTTTTTTAAACGAGAAAAAATACTGAATGTAGCTGGCTTTATCCTTTAAAGTATTCCGCTATAATTGGTCCAACAACCATATTTACCAGGCGGCCATGTTGCTAGAAATAGATCCAGTATGTTTTACCTAGCTCTTATATAAATGTATTCGTCGTATCCATTTATCTCAAACGTAAGTGTGTGTTGTTGGCTAATGTTATCTGTGTTCTGATGTGTTTTTAACTCAGACTATAAGGAGTTTCATCATCCATTGTCTGTGTGGTTTCTTATCAATTGGGCGGCTTAAAAATGAAAACAGTCGATCAGATTTGCGATGTTTGCATGACTCAAACCTGAGACGTAACAGTAAGACACAAAGTAAAGTCTTTGACCTGCTCTCTTGTAAAGTGACTTGAGACAACATTTGTTATGAATTGGCGCTATACAAATAAAGATCAATTGATTGATTGACATAACAACTTCTGAACCTCCCACCCTGAGCATGACATCACAGCAAAATGGCCACCGTGGAATATATGGTCTATTGGCACCATCAGGGCTCGTGTCCACTTTTAGAGCGCTTCTCATTGGCTCTTTTTGTTAAGTAACTAAAGTTATCTTTCGGCATTCCCCTTCCCTCAGTCTTGACCGTTAGGTGTTTTGAATCACTCCGTATGCCAAATATTTTTATTTTATTAAAGGACATTTCACAAAAGATTCTTAAAAACAATGTAAAGGAATCGAGTCCTGGCATTAGCAGTACCTTCGAAAAGACGATTAGTTTATCATCTGACGTTGTTGACAAACTTAATATCAGAAGTCCCGCCCCCTTCTTGATTTTGATAGGTTGGTGAGGGAGAAGTGACATTGGGCAAACAGTTTTCCAAAAGTTGCACAGTGAAAAAATACAGATTACGCCGAGCGCTTTTTTGAGCATGGAAAATTCTGAACAGCTGTTATGCCCCATCTAGAGGAGGCCAAGACACAACCCCAATAACGTCCCAAATCCCTCACTTCCCAAGCGGAGAATAGTTAACGTTATCATTCTTTATTTTTCGATACAGAAATAACATACCCAAACATCTACCGTAACTGAGGAACCAAACTAACCTGATAAATCAAGGAAAAACAAACTACGACCAACTTACCTCCTAAACTAACTCAAAACATGAGAAAACAAGGCGTTGGTGTTGTATAGGAAAAAGGGAGCTGCCAGCACACAGAACAAACCTGTTAGTGGACTCAGTCGGTTTATAAGAAGCTGCTATTGAATGTATATATCATATCATAAAAATATGTTAATTTGATTTAAGTGCTCTTATGAACGTTCACTGTCGTATTAACGCCTGTCAGACCTGTAGTGTTAAATGAACCGAACTGGCAGTGAGATTAAATTTTATCTTGAACATTTTGCCTTTGACAGTTTTACTGCTTTTTTAATAATTGTTGTTCATACTTCAATGTATTTTTGTTTTTTATTTGTGATTTGTTTTATAATTAAATGTTTTGTTATTTTCATATCAACATTTCATATATTATTGCCTCAGTTGGTCAAAATGACCCAAACTATCCATGAACATTTCAGTAACACTTTGAGTCCTTAACAAATGTTATTCACATATTTCTCCTGATTTATTCAAATAAAGGCAGAAATATGGAACATGATTGTTGTCTTACTCAAACACATTGTGTGAGACTGGAACTCTGTCCTGTTTCCTCATGTTAATGTTGCTATCCTGTACTTTTAGCAGCCAATGTTTGAGATACATTCTGAAAATATGGGAATAAGTCAGCAAAGAGAGAGACTGACGGTGCGTTTAGTGAATGTTGACATATGTTGATGTGTATGGAGAGGGAGTGCGGGGGGCCTTGGAAATATTTTCATCTGCCCAGGGGGAGCCCTGCAGAATAAGTTTGGGAATGACTAGGGTAACACTTTATATTAAGGTGCTTGTAATAAGCACTAATAACAGGTAATAAGTCACTTATAAGACCTTATTAGATTCTTATTAACACAAATAAGACTATATAAGTGTTAATATAGGCATAATTAACACATTTATTATGTCTTAGAAGACACTTATAGGCTCTTATTAGAAATGTACTGACACTTTACATACCGTCATAAACATTAATAAGATGTTTATGAACATTAATAAGACTTATTGAGTGTTAATTAAACTATAAATTAATTTATAATTGGCTTGTAAGATATTAATTAACACAAAGAAACTTGTTTATAGACCACTTATCAACGTTCATAAGATGTTTATTGACATTGATATTATTGATATTAATGCCTTATAAAGGTTAATAAATACTTTATTATGCACTTATTAAGAGTTAATAAAGCTCCTCTACAGGTACTGGATCTAAAGTGGGAACACTACTTATAAAGATTAATCAATACTTTATTATGCACTTATTAACAGCTCAGTGGGAACAGGGTCCAACTTTCAAGTAAACGCAGAAACAAAAAGGAGGTCTATTGAACTTCCACTCAAAAAGTTTTTGAAAAGAAATGCTACTACAAATACAAATATTATCTTTAACGTTAACTGTAAACAACATTATGAAAACATTTGGTGTGTCATAGCTACCAACATATCTGATCAAATTCAGGGAAAAAGCATACCGGTAGTTGTTTTTAACCCACGTTACTGTACATAAAGTGTTGAAGGTCTGAATACCAGTCAAGAGACGCACACAGGAATACATTTTCAAACTTTGTATGTAAGGAACACAAATATTGCAGGTCAAGATTACAATATACAATTTACTAATGCAATTAACAACTAATTTAATAAAGTGTGCACATGAAATAAAACAAACATTTGAAGTGTCTAAGCCCAGTCTTTTTCGTTGGGGTTCTGTTTAGTCTGTGCTTCTGCTGCTCTGAAGTAGTGAAGGAAGTTCTTCCTTAGAAGAAACAGTCTTCTTAATCCCACTTGAGGTCTCAAAGGTTGGGTTCACTATCCAGTTAGCTGCTCACAGTTCTATGGTGGATTCTCTTGTCGATGGATGGTCTTCTGGATGAGCCCAAAATGCGCCTTTTATCAAAACCTGACCTACAGACAGGTCACACCACCCCTATAAAGATAAACATGCACGTCAGCATCAACACAGGCTTCATCTCAATTTAAGCACTTTGCATTTAACACCAAGTATTAAAATAACATCTGTTTTATTCACAATTTTCCATTAGCTCTGTTGTACTACAAAAAAGGTTAAAGATTTTCTCTATCAATTTACTGTTGAGCTTTTTATTGATAAGACAACATAGGACACTTTACTGTAATAACTGTACTATGAAACACTGAAGTTCTGTGTGAGAGACTCCACAAAAGAGAATGAAATCAACAAGAGGAAAAACTTTCATCATTAAACTATTCCTTACTCATTTAAGAGTCTTAGCCTATAAGTGTCTTATAAGACATAATAAATGTGTTAATTATGCCTATATTAACACTTATATAGTCTTATTTGTGTTAATAAGAATCTAATAAGGTCTTATAAGTGACTTATTACCTGTTATTAATGCTTATTACAAGCACCTTAATTTAAAGTGTTACCACGACGGGTCTAGATGAACAACCAAGATAGTTTAATACTCTGATCCATGAACGCTGTTGAGACTTTTACTTCTAAATAACCCGGTTTTGAGAATGCTGATAAACAAATTCAAAACATGCAGGATGGGTGCATTAAGGTCACAAAAGGGCCTAATATGGCAGAGGCATTGCTGTGTGTGTTCACTCTATTTCATTGTCAAAAGCTGTTCTCTGTTTTCATCTGGTGGCTGAAAAAACCCCACCGTTCAAGCTTCTGACAGGATCGCTGTCAACCTTCATCTTGAAATGAACGCTTAAACACCCAGCTCTAAGTTTGAGTTCATGCTCAGGGTTTTTAAACTGGTAGTGAGTGCAAGCAGATATTGGCATTAAAAGCTCAAGAATATCCAATGCTGCCTTAGATGGATGTACACAATTAAATTTTTTCAATTATTAATCCGACCAAACACACAGGACGGTGATCCAAAAAGATGTAGATGTGATCGCATGAGCCAGACATCAATGTGTCATTTCTCTGTAAATGTCCTGTGAAACAAAGTGTCCTTGTAAGAAATGATCTCGTTAACTTGAAGACATGAACCTTCTGTCGTCTGGAGATAACTCAATAAATGAACCCAGTATGACAACCACACAAGCCCTGTGGTCTCAATATTATTAAGCAATTAACTTGTGACTAAATTAGATTGGCATGATAGATAATTGCAAGCTCAGCCAATCACAGTTTCCGTAGATTGACCTCTTCAAACACCAAATACGTGCCACTGTTTAATGCATACCATCCCATTAAACGGATATAAGGAAAAGTTTTAACACTGTCGCTGTAGTTTAGAGTGCAAAATCACTTCATGCATTAAATATAACTAACAAAGAACTGGACTTGACAGCTCCACCTTAATCTTCAATTACAATGTGTTACAAAAAGGCTCTCTCTTTGACATTTATTTTATGGTTCTCCTTAAATACGTTCATGAATTGTTGGAATTTCCCACATGATGAGGTGTTGTTGTCAGTTGTCTATACTGTGGTTGGCCAATGCTGCCATCTGGTGGACTTTTGTAGTACTAAAATTTCCAAATGTATCAATGAAGGCTTTGTTCATGTTTCTTCAACATTTAAAATGCTCTATCCTCTTCATTTGTCATAGTAGCTGCACACATTAACAGTAGAAAGTTGATGGAACAGTTGTGTTGGAAATGTAATCATGACATTTGACAGTTTTTTTTCCCTTTTGCTAGTCGGACTTTTCTTAAATTGAGTTTGCACTGAAGGACTTTAACTCATCTAAACTTCAGTTCCCCTTAAATCCTAGCTTCATCCTTCATGTTCTCACTGGACTGCTGGTCAAGGACCATTGAACCCTTGACCCCACAGTGAACAGTTTTACCATGGTGCTCACAGACAGCTGATGGTGACAGCTTGTTGCATGAGGGGTTTAATCCAGTTTTAATCCTGTTTTCATCCAGACCATCAGGAGTGATTGGACAGCCACACAAAGAACAAGCTAAAATAAGATTGATCATTATTCACATTTATTTTATTTTTTTATTTCTAGACACTTAACAAAGAGCAAGTAAAAGACCTTACACATTTTAGCTACTATTACAAAGACCCAAAGTTAATCCAGGATGAGCACATCATTTATAAACATTTAGTAAAGTTACAGTGGCAAGAATAAAACGTCCTTTTAAGAGGCAGAAATCTTGTGCAAAACCAGACTCATGATGATCAGCCATCTACTGAAACTGCGCCGGGCTTGAAAGATTCTATAGGGGGAGTGTCATGATCGGTTGAAGAAACAAAGGGAGGTGGACCCAATTGCAGATAAAAAGAAAACTAAATTTATTAAACAAAAAGCCAAAGGCAAACAAAACTCACTAATTCAAAATGTTCAACAAAAATCCAAAAGGGGGAAACAAGGAGCCACGAGGAAACACTAGAAACACTGGAAACACAGACACAACACAAACACATAGACGGACTAATTACACTCTACTTACAACAATTATCTGACAACACGAGGGAAGGAACACGGAGACTAAATAGACACAGGGTTAATCAAACACAGGTGAGACTAATAACACAGTGGGAAACACACAGAGGCAGGAATACAATACAAGAAACACTGAGGACAACTACAAACTAAATCATGAAACACTGAAGACACACAGAACTCAAGAATGTAACAAAAAACACTAGAACATAAAGAAACACAAGGAGACGAGGTTACAGAATAACACATGAAACACTAAAGACTAACTAAGGGAAACAACACCATCATGAATACAACAAGAAAATCTAAACTGTGAAAATCTACAAAATAAGAAACCAAATCATGACAGGGAGACGGGATAAGATACAACATTATTACTCTGTTACTTAACTTATACTTGTAATTAGTCTACTCTCAACATGGTTTTCTTTTAAATTAGCTCTCAACCACTTAATATTCAATGATAATCTGTATTTTTTTTTGTATTCCACTTAAATTTGATGCTCTTTTGTGTTACTCTTGCCCACCACAGTTTCCTTTGGGATTAATTTCCTCGTGCCAGAGTGCTCTGAAAATTTAGTGAACTACCCAAATAGGACCAACAGAGCATCAAATAAATGTGAAGTACAACATTTATATGGGTTAAATGCAAAGAACCTTAATAGGCCTTATAGAATAAAAAATAAATAAATAAAGCAGAAAAAGTATGAATAGTAACATTAACAGTACTGGCAGTAATATTAAGAGGTAATGAAAATGATTTATTTCAAATGGATGGAGAGTGGATGTAGCCTAAAGGCAGCACATGCCATAATAATCAAAAGTAGTAGTAGTCACAAATGAAGAAATAGTGCACATGATAGGACAGGCTAAGTTTAATGACGCTCTCGCTGTCATTCATGGATAGAAATGAGTCATCAAGCCTTCCTGCACATTGGGACCCCTCTACCCCACAGTAGGGTCGGCCCCTAGGAGTTAACAACGACACTATTGTCCAACCAGACTGTGCTGCTGCTGATCCCCACTTCACCACAACTAACGGACCTCCTGCTCCCGAGAAAGTGGTCAAATCTAAATTCTGACTTTTCACAATACTTGTTTATGTCTGTTTGGACGTCTTTTACGCAACAACGGTTTGTTTGGGAGGTCCGTCGTAGTTCCCGATTCAACAAGTGGGTGGAATATTAACTTTCAGTCGATTGTAAGTCCATACACGTTGGTGGTTTTGCCGTGTTGCAGCCCACAGAGTAAAGCAGAGTGGGACGGGCTTGGATGTGAGACAGGAGCTCCCGATGCGCCAGTAAAGATCCACTTACCAGCAAAAAAGAAAAAAGAAAAAAGCAACATGACGAAGGTAAGTGCTGCAGGCAGTTTTTTGTGTGAAGCAAAACTCGGGTTGTGTTGGTCTTTGGTTCAGTTTCAGTGTGTGTTTGTTTTTCATTTTTTTTAAAAACAAACATTTAAAAGCACCACGAAAAGTTGCACGGAGTCTGCGAATCTGGTGGGAAGAGACGCGTGGAAGCGGAAGGATCCACACGTCCCAAATAAAGCGTAAAATGTGTTTTGTCGTGAAGTCTATCTGAGGACTTGTGTTGATGACCGTGTCTAAACCACTATACCGTTATTTGATAATTCAACAGGCGCACCAGCACTCTAAATATATCTAATTGGAGAGTTTTGAGGCTGAAAGGCGTCTATGTCAGAATGTGACACAGTGCGCAAATCGTTTTAAAGGATAATTTCACCAAAAAGGTTTTTTTTAACATACCGAGAATTACCTCTGCATATCTTCTGCCAGTGATGTTGATTGACAAAGCCACATCCCAGAACCAGGATCATTTGATCACATGTGGAGCTTTTGTAGGCGTACATACTGCAATTGAGTTTAATGTTAATTTGAACTTGTCAAACTTGTTTCCCTCGTTTTAATCGTCCCGTGTCTGTATGTGTGTTGTATGTAAACAGAGAGCAGTAGGCTGTAAAGCGGAGACATACAGTATCTGCACACGTACCTTTCCATTAAGCTGCTTCTGTTTCTGTTTTTAATCATATCACATTATCATCCACAGGATGGTGAGTTAACGTTATAAAAGTTCACATTTTGAGCACTTTGTGCAGGCACTGTTGATTGTTTTTCTTTTCTTTTTAAATGATGTTGTTTTGCTGTGCAGTGAGGATTGTAAAAAGCCAGGTCAAAGCAATTATCTTCACAATTAAACTGTAAATCAATCATTAGGGACAATCGGCAACTAATAGCAGATGGATACTCCCCCCCCTCCCAAAAAAAAAAAATCCAACAATGCAACTTCTCCAGCAACAAGTTCTGCCTGTAAAAATACTAAAGCACTCTGCTGAGGAATTGTAGCAATCTTAATCCATTGAGAAGTGTTACACATTTTAAAGTTATAAATGGTCCAGATCTTGTTCTGCCAAAAGTTGTCTTGAATATGTAACCTACAAGAATTCTAGAGACTGAATAAAGTTTGTTATTGGTTGCATTTTTAGTTTAGTTATCTTTTTATTTAAGTACTGCTGTGCTGCTCTTACTCTCTGATGTACATCACTTTGCATAAAAGCATCTGCAAAGTTGATTGTAGATTATGACTAACTAGCACAATTAAGATGCAAAGAGTCTTGTGTCTGTGACATCAACCATGCTTATCTTGGAGCTACATATGAACTGATACTGATTCTATAATTAAATAGAACAGCTTGCATCAATGTAGCTCAGTATGATTGTAGCAGAAGTGTGTTTCGCTTATTTCAGCATAATGATTTACTTGAGTTACTTATTAGCTTTGGGCTAACAGGAAGTATGCATACTTTCTTTGGCAAAATGTGAGTTTTTATGGATTGAAACAGCCTACTTGTTCCTGTCCGACTTAGAGATAAAAAATAGATAGTGGAATTTCCCATCCAGGATCGTAGTATAAATGTCTCTTATTGTATGTTTTTTATTTTAAAATGTTGAATATCATTCAGTAAACAAACTCTTCCTCTTTTAGAAACTATGTGGGACCAATTATCCAACCAGCATCTGCTTCATAGTGGTGAACGAGTTCTGCGAACGCTTCTCCTACTATGGCATGAAAGGTATGCAAAGTGTCCGTCTGGACAACACATGGACATTTTAACCGACCTGACGAGCAGAGGGTTTCTTATTCACAGAGTTGCTTCAGGGTCTTTGAACTGAGAGAAGTAGCTGACACGGTGTGTAATGGGTGATGATGCCGAGCTTGTTAAAATAGTTTAAAAGTGGGAGTGAATGAATGTGAGAGAACAGAGAGCCTTTAATGGACAGATAAGGCTACAGGCTCTGTTTGTTCCCCTCACATGACTAACCTATTCACACATATATGTCCGTCACATCACTTCAATCTGTTCACAAAGACTCTGGACATAATGTGTAGCGTAAATGGCACATGATAATGAAGATAATAGAGCAGATATTAAAATGTAATATTGTACACGCAACTCTGACAGACTGATGATAATCAAGTACACTCATACATATCATATCATGTGCAATATAACTTTTTAATATCTCCTCTATATGTTCTGTGTCATGTGCAAGTTAACCTATGCACTATGTGTGTTAATACTGTCTGCAATATGAATTTTACTTTCACTTTCATATGCAATATAACGTCATTGACTGCAGTACTAAGAACAATGTAATTTAATTTCAGATGACAGCATTACGTTTATGATCTGTTGCAATATAATACACCATTTAATATAATAAAATAATATAATCTCATTGCCACTGCTAATAACTTATACCTATACTTTGCTGCGCAATTACCTCATGCTTATGTATACTTCTATTGTTGCTCTGTTTCTCAGCATTTAACCCTTAAACTTGTTCTATTTTCAATTTCCCATATTTGATGCTCTTTTGTGAAACCACCCCTCTATTTTTCCTGTACTGTATCTTTGGAGCTATGTCACTAAAACTTTCCTTTAGTGTCAATAAATGATTTCTGATATGATCTTATCTGAACAAATGGAGACATTTCTATATGTTATTGTGTATGACCAGCCAGCTTGGCTATTTACTCTCCCAGGGCAGGGGAAGTGAAAACTACAAAAGACTTATTAATACAGTTTAGCAGGGATGACAATATAGCAGAGCGTGCATGATAAAAACAAACACAGTTCTGACCTCATGTTAAAGATTTGAATGAAATGTTAGGATTCATGCACATTTACAACAGAACAGTAAATTCCCCTTGATTTGTTTTGAAAAGAACAGATCTCTTTGACTTTTGAACTTAAAAGTATCCATCACTTGAGCTGGGTCATAACTTTGGATTATGTTTCCATTAACAGCGGTGCTGACACTTTACTTCCTCACTTACCTTCACTGGGACAAGGATCTCTCCACGGCTATCTACCACGCCTTCAGCAGCCTCTGCTACTTCACGCCCATACTGGGAGCAGTCATCGCTGACTCCTGGCTCGGAAAATTCAAGTGAGTTCATCTCCAAATTGGAAATATTTTTCATTTGTATTATTATTATTATTTTTTTTTTTTTTTAAAATATCTGTCCTCGTTAAGTAAGTTTAACAGCGAAAAACATTTAGTTTGTATTGCTTTAAGCATTTGACGTTTACTCAAAAAATGACCAGAACTTTTCACAAACAATGTCCAAGATAGTTCACAGACCTTAAAAGGAAAAGAAAAGAAAAGAACAGTCACTGGGGTGTGGAAGGTATGATAAATTGATGTGTGAAATAGTTTTAAATAAAACTGTTGACACATTATGTACTTTCAGTTGGACATCTGTGTCTAAATTGTGTAACCTCCCGTTTTAGTTGAGTCAGTACGGCCACACACACACACACACACACACACACACACACACACACACAGATTTGCCTATAAATAAATTTGCAGTCCTGCATGTCCATAATCACAGTCTGCTCTCAACAGGACCATCATCTACTTGTCCATTGTGTATGTGATCGGCCATGTGGTCAAGTCGGTCGGAGCCATTCCCACTGTGGGAAACACGGATGTGCACATGTAAGTCATTAGGAGCTGATTCATTCAATTTGAACCGGCAGAATCCGACTTCAGTTCTGTTATAGTTTCAGTTAAACAGTTAACTGGAACAATATAGTGTGTATGTGTTGCAGCTCTCTGTCCATGGTCGGTTTGATACTCATAGCCTTTGGTACAGGAGGAATCAAACCCTGCGTGGCAGCTTTTGGAGGAGATCAGTTTGACGAGGAGAATGTAAGACATTACACCCCCTGTGTGTATTTCGGCCTATGTTTGTGTAGCATGTTCATTAAACAGAGTCTAAAAACTGAATTTCCCCTCGCGGATTAATAAAGGATAAATTATTATTATGTTGTTCAGTTTGAAGCAATCAAACCATGATGATCTGTGAAATCAGTCAGTAAAAAGATAACAATTGGTAGTGGTAGCTTTTGTGGAGAATTCAAATAAAGTACTACTCTCAATAGTACAAATTCATGGCAACTCACCTTGATGTCAAGTTTTAAAAGTAGATAGAGCTGTGGCGCCGTTGGCCTAGTGGTTAGTATGCACGCCCTAAGTACAGTTAACGAGTTGTGAAACAGACTGACTTGAATACTACACATCAACTACAAAAGCAAACAGAAATCAGCAAATTTTTGTTTTTCAGATTTATTTGTGGACTTTTTGCCTTTATTTGGACAGAACAGTAGATAGAGTAGGGAGTTAGGAGAGAGGATGGGGAATGACATGCAGGAAAGGAGACACAGGTACGGCTTGAACCCAGACCATCCACCTGGAGGACTATTGCCTACGTACATAGGGCGCGACCTAACTGCTAGGCCATCTGCGCCCCAAATATTAACTATTTTTAAATTGTAGTTTTTAAGGCCTGCAGCCAATTACTGGGTTGTCGGCGTCAGAAGAGTTGACTTTAGAAACAGTCTTTTTCCACTTTTGTCAAAGCAAACATTCAAAATGTGCAACATATTTCATTGTTAAAAGAAAGCAGATTCATATTTCTTAAAAAAAAATAGAATAACTACGCATGTGTAGGAAAAAATCAGGCAAAATCAACACAAACCAAAAGTTCCTCACATGAGCTTAAAGAATGGGATACATAAAACTCCTTTGCCCTAGAATTACCTTTTATTGATTATATTAAACTTTACACAGTAAGCATACAGTTTCAAACCCAAATCTGAAATTTTAACGGTGACTCAAAGATCACAAAAAACAGTGTTGCAAAAGGTTGGACAATATTTTTTTAACCTATAATTTTCTGTTTTCATTGTTAAACACCTCCAGGGCGCCGAAAGGCAGAAATTCTTCTCTATCTTCTACATGTCCATAAATGCTGGGAGCCTCTTGTCGACTATAATCACACCCATACTGAGAGGTGAGCACTCACAGGCTTAATGTTTAACACTTCTAACATAATGGGATCCAATGTGTACTAGGTAATTGTTGCACACTTGTACACAACCGTACCGTGAACATGCCTGATATTAATACGGGCCCCACATAATGATGCCATTAAAGCTCGATTTAACCCTGCAGGTGATGTCAAGTGTTTCGGTAATGACTGCTACGCTCTGGCCTTCGGGGTTCCTGCTATTCTGATGATCGTGGCTACAGGTGAGTTTAACATCATATTGTCAAATAAAATCCATTTAGTAGAAAAATTATTAAGTACCGGTATCTTTATTTGACACTTTTAAAAATGGAATAACAAACCTTATGTCACTACAATGGAAAGTCTTTGGGTTGAGAGGGAACTCTTGGCCTTGGAAGAAACAGGACTTCACACTTTTATTGGGTCGCATATGTTTGGAAGTGGCAGGAAACTTGTGTGCCTGGTGAAAAGAAAATTATATTTGTCTGAAAAGGTTCCATTTCGGGTTGGGTATCAGGGGTTTCATCATACAACACACTCATATCCCAATCAGGATGGTAATTACCTGATTTATTATGAAGAACCAAACGTCATCAGTAAGTCTAAAACCAGCCAACAGGGTTTGACTCCTGTTGAAGGCATTGTGCTAAAACGTTAGGAGTTAGCTTCTAGGACTAAATGACCATTCCTTCACATTGAAGACATTTGAACTGTTAAAAAAGTGAGTTCCTCTGATTAGTTTTTTTATTACTACTTGCAGTGTTAGGGTAAATACATGTATGGGGAGTATAGCTGCTTATTTTTCAGTCTCCAAAAGGTATACACACTTCCAAATCTCCTCTGATTCACACCATTGATTAATATTCAGTAGCATGTTTCCGAGGATGGTGAAGAGATTTCCTTCCCTACTCTGTATTTGGGGGAAAAATTAAGAGTATACACAATTCTTTAGGCACCACTACACTACTGTCTACTTGTATGACATGCCAGAGAGCAACTCAGACTTTTTTTTATGTCCAGGAAGCACTCTTTTGTGTATTTTTTTTAATCATGACTAATAAGGCTAAAAATACTGTACATGGAGCCTTTTTTATACATTCATTTCTACTTATCTTCCTGTGTCTGGAAGGAAATATTTACTTCATTATTAAAACACCAGGCGTCAATCCAATCCCTCATTACTGTCACATTTTAGAAATCGAAGCACAGTTCAGACTGTGATCTGCATGTTGACGGCATGTTTGGATTAAGTCAAGCTTTGACAGACTGGGCTTCATCTTGATCAAGGCCGATCCACATAAGTCCTGACAGTCAGTTATCTCTGGCTGTGACTCCCCATCCCGGCTGATCCATATGGGATTCATGCTTGGCTGACCGCTCGTTGTGAAAACAAGCTGGGATTTTTTGACTCCAGGGGTCATGCACAGATCACAGTTGGTGTCAGAGAAAGTATTAGCTTTAATGTCTTAACTTTTGGACCAAAGCTTGAATTTGTATTACTTGAGAGCATTTCACAAGCCATTGAAGAGGACAAAACATCCTTCAATGGAAAATTAGCCTGTCAGAATTTGCTCTTGTTAGTTGAGGATATGAGTTCTTCTGATACCAGGCAAGTGTTGCAATTGTTTGTACAACTTTCTACTGCTTCATCCATCTTCTGCAGTTGTGTTCATTGCCGGCAGCGGCCTGTACAAGAAGACTCCTCCCAAAGGAAACGTACTCTTGGAAGTCTGCAATTGCATTGGGGTGAGTCATTTCCCAATCCTCTCGAGTCGTTTGAGATGATTTATTAAAGTGATTGCACACTTTATTCCTTTTTCTGTAATACAGGCATGCCGTTTAAACATTCATTCAGTTAACTTTCCCAATCTTGTTGTTTTACTTTTTTCTTGCAGTTTGCCATCAAAAACGCTCAAGAAGATCCAAGCATGATCCACCGAAGAAGCACTGGTTGGACTGGGCGGAGGAGAAGTACTCGGTAACTAAAGGACTCCTTCTATTATCTCTTCCATGACACAATTTGCATTTCTCCAAAAGTACTAAGAATGGCACTAGAAAAAGTACAAATATTGTTGGTGGTTTCAGTGCAACAGTAATCTAGCCAGTCTGTGTGTTTGTATGTTAACAGAAGCGTCTAATCCAGGAGATTAAGATGGTGCTGCGGGTTTTGGTGCTCTATATTCCACTTCCGATGTTCTGGGCTCTGTTTGATCAGCAGGTAAGTGGCGATTAAAAGACTAATGAACTTCACAAACAAGAGCTATCAACACTGCAACCACCTGCGTTTCCACCTCTTGAAGGGCTAAAAGCTAGGCATAGTTTGCTGAGGACGCACATCACCAGTAGCTTCATTCTGCTGATGTTATCGAGCCAGTTCGATTTTCTAGTGTTTAAATGGAATATTCTTTCAATCTGTGTTAATTTATCATACCGTACATGAACATTTTTCTCAGTCAGCACAACTTCAAGGTCCTGAGTCACTGCTCTCTTGTAAAATCCTGTAACTATCTGTTATCTTCTCCTCTGGCCAACACTCAACAAAACCATCTGATTATGGGATACCTCAAAGCCACATCTGGCATTCCCGAATTTCATTCCCTCTCATTCTTCATCTAGATTGACTGGTTGAAACACATGCCTGACAACAACCCCATATGTCCCTTGGAAAGCATGCCACCTTCTTATTTACCATTTCTTTATTTAACAGAAAGATAAATGGGTGTCCTGTGGTTTAAGGTTTCTACGCTAAGCTAACAGTTGAGCTGTTGCCTTAATATACATTGAGTAACACTGCATGTTTTCTTGATTGCAGGGTTCCCGCTGGACTCTTCAGGCCACGAGGATGAACATGGCTTTTGTAAGAGATTCTTTACATGATGCAACAGTGATGACTAAATTTAAAAACAGCTGATAATGTCTTTTAAGCTGTTTTATATCACTGGGTGGGGTTTGTTATTATTGTCCCAAAGACATTAACTTTGTTAGGCTGTTGTGCAATTTGTCATTTGATTCCAGGAAATGAATTTGTTTATGGCCTTGCTAAATCCTGCACTCATCAGGTTTATTTAACATTTATCGCACAAAGGAGCACATCCAGTTTTATTTGTGAATTTAAAGATTTAATTGTCCTGTTAAGCTGAAATCATCTTTGTTTTATTACAGGGAGATTCTTTCACTATTAAGCCTGACCAAATGCAGGTACGTACAGGTCCTCTTCATACTCTGAACGAAAAAGGTAAAAATAAGCAAGCTAGACTAATTGAAGAAATTCCAAGAACGTGTGAAAAAATAACACTTGCAAAAAGTACAGTGGACTCGTTCATTGTTTTTGCATACATGGACGCTCAGACCTGAAAACACTGAACTGCGTTGTTTTTGTGTAGAAATAGGCCTCGCCAGAGCAACAAACCCCCCAAAATATTAGTTAATGTCATTATGCAAAAAAAAAAAAAAAAACAGTAAGCGCCTCACTAAGCTGTGTAGTGCAGAATACAAGTGCAGTATTAAGAAACAGGATACGACATAAAGAATAAAATTAGGGAGATTCACACCTAATATATAGACACAAGGTATCTATCCTCATTTTTTAATCTCTGAGAGAGAATTCATTTAAAGTTCCTTCCAACATTTCAAACGATCTCTTTTATTCAAAGGTTTTAAATTTCACATCAACGGACAGTATTTAAACTGTAAACTATTCTTCATGTGAGTCCTAAGTTTACAATGTATGTTTATATTTGCATATAATTCTTATTCTTTAGAATTCTTAGAATTATCATTTTATCTTCTATCATATCATCATTGTGTTTGGAAATAGAAAGGCCTCTACTGTTCCCTGATCATGCTGTGAAAACCCTCAAACAGACTTCAGAATACAAAGACAAAAACCCGCGTCACAATTTTAAACCTACAGATTGCCATTTATGTTTGTAAATTTCAGCCATCTTTGTAGTTTTTTTATGTGTAAACACACACCAGTGTGCCACATCAGTATTTTTCAGAAAAGCACGTTGGATGACAAATATTTGACTTGGCAAGAGATGCTGTGATTCCTGTGAAAACACTTTTATAGATGTCAGTCACCTCCATCATGCTTTCTTTGGGTAGTTATAATAAAACATAATCTGCCTTATAAAAGCCTTTATGATCTGATGAGTCTCAGTAGGTTTTTATAGAGTCATTTAAAGGGCCATTCTTTTCATCTTCCTTGTTCTGTAGATGTTGAACGCTCTGATGATTCTTCTCTTTGTGCCCATCTTTGACCTCGTCATATATCCACTCGTTGGCCTTTGCAGAATCAACATCACGTGAGTGGAAGCCTGTGTTTTTACTCCCATGTTTATTGCAAACAGCATCAATAAAGGCCTCATAAACTGGGAAAATGAGCCATGTGACCTCACATTTGTATCCCATGAAATCGCCTCAGGGTGCTTACGTATGGTAAGCAGTTTTATTTATTATCCAGAGTATTTTCCAGCACACTGCTCTGTACATTAAAGCCGTTTTCACATATGCACTCCTGAAAATATCTAGATAATTTCAGGAGGACTGCTCCGGATAACAACACACTGAAGAACATGAAACATAATGCAGCATGTAATTACGTGCACAGAGATCGCAGTGGTCGCATGCATACAGTCAATGCACCATGCAGCAGTCACAGGATATAAACGTCACTCCCCCCTCCTATTGGCTCGAGGTGAATTCTATCCTGCTGCGTTCTCACATCAGCTCACTCGGACTTGCTGTGAAAAAACACTAAGGGTCTGGCAGGAGAAACTCCGGGTGAAGTCCGAGCGAAAACATTCAGCTGTTTGTGTTCACATGTATCCAGCTCCTCCGGGAAATATCAGGAGTTTTTCAGGAGTTTTCTGCAAGTGTGAAAGCCCTATAAGTAATTATGTTTAGGTACTTATTTCTCAAATTACAAATGTGGCATACGGTAAACTCACTCACACACACACTGACAGCATAGTGTTTGTTTATAATTCCTATGTCTCATCAAGAGAATAGCTCAGGGTTTAAAGAACACATTTGCTACAGAAGCCATTATGGTAAATCATTGGCAGGGCAGTCTGTTATCAGACGAGTGAAGACAATGATGTGGAAATCACTTTTGAAGAGATAGTTTGATTTTCAAATCTGTTAACGCTGACTATGCTCGGGGTAATCCGAGATGTATTAAAGAGTTGATTCTTTGTGACTTCAGGCCTCTGAGAAAAATGGCCATGGGAATGATTTTTGCTGCACTGGCCTTCGGAGCAGCTACAGTGGTGGAAGTGAACGTTGTGGTACGTATGAAAACAAAAATAGAGAGCTTGCCTCTCTTGTCACAGAACAAAGACACAGTCCCTTAATCTTTCTTATTAACACACACTATGTGTCTTGCATGCATTCAACCAGTCAGACAACAAGTATACCTGCACATAGACTGCCCTAACTTTCAAATCCAGAGTTCACATGCAAACCATACCTCTTAAATGTCTTATTACAGTCCCAAAAGAGAACATCATACATCAAAATGTCCTGGAAAACTTTTAAAAACTGTCATAAGAAAGTCCCAATTTTCTTTTCAAATCATATATACTTACTCAGCACATATGGAAGCTAAAATTAGAGCGCTCTTAAGCAGGAACAATCACATGAAAAATCTTTCTCATATGTTTTAAGTTTTTTTTGGAGGGATGGAAGAATAAATGGTACAATCATCTAGTTGGAGGTTTCTATATACTACGTTATTTTGTCAAAACTTATGTAGACAGGATATGTTTTTAACCAATAATTTTGCATTTCCCAAATGCAAAAGTGTTTTCCACTTTGAATAGTACTCGAAACTAAAGCTAAGTTCATCCCTATGTGATGTTTCAGTTCTCTGAAATAGTTCATAAAGCATAAAGCGTGGTCACTAATATTTATCTGTGTGTTCCTCTTGTCTGTGTCCGTCTGTGGTCTGAGGTTCAAAACTAAGGGCGATCGAGCCTTTTCTGTTGCAGCTCCGACACTTTGGAACAGATTACCATTTAATATAAGATCTGCTGCCACAACTGAACAGTTTAAGTCATTTTTTCCTTAGCTTTTACCTCTGAGTGTTTTATGCCAGCAGCAGTGTAAGTCATTTTTTCCTTGGCTTTTACCTCTGAGTGTTTTATGCCAGCAGCAGTGTCTATTAGAATTTTTTTTATTTAATTTTTGCTTTTACGTGTTTTTATGATGTTTTGGATGTAACATATTTTTCCTGATTTACTGTAAAGCACTTTGGTCTGCCTCGGCTGTTATAAATGTGCTATATTAATAAAGTTGACTTGACCTGTGGTCAGCGACTTCAGAGCACCAGATTCTTGTGTGAGCACAGAGCTGATTACTTATAGCAATCGTTCCCTATTAGTTACAGACCCGAAACAATTCTTGAAAACAAATTGGTGTAGTGTTGAACTGTAATGACTGTGGGTGGATTTAACCACCACAGCACCCCTGGGTGGGGTTTCCAGGCCACGTAAGGACTATGTCCGAACACAGATGGAGCAAACTGTGGGCCTGAATCAATTTGAATTAGGCAAGACCAGCAGGTGATTCTGTGTACGTCGGGACATTGAAAGTCGCCCAGAGCAGATACCATCACCATTACAGATTTGAGGCTATTCATATACATATTTTGTATTTAAAATGTATGTGTTTTTAAAAACACTAATTTCATATTTAATAATCTCTGTGATTGTTGACATGATGCTTTTGATGTCTTGTGTGAAGCACTTTGAATTGCCTTGTTGCTGAAATGTGCAACAGAATAATCTTGACTTCTTTTCTTTTCTGATAGGAAACAGTGGTGAATCCTGCTCCTGCAGGAAAGTGTCTCCTGCAGGTGTATAACTGGCCAGAGGTGATGTCAATGTGACCGTTGGTTCAAACAACCCGTTTCCAGCTCCCATCGGACCCCTTCAGGTAGAGTATGAGGAGAGTGTGGGACTATAGGGAATAAAGGTCCAGTGTGGATGCAAGGCAACACAAAGTTCTCAGTGACATGATTTCTTGTCAAAATAATATTTCACTGGGTGTCTTCATCATTGCAAAAGCAAGTCAGGATTGTGGACTCAAAATGAATATCTGACTGTGTGAGAAACTGTCAGTTCAACCTGACCTGTGCAGGCTGTATCAGTCCCGACGCTCAATAACATTCAATTCATTTAACCAGGAAATGTCTTCCAGGAAATGAAATTTAAAAAATATATATTTTAGGGGAGTGTGTCTTGCAAAACAGAGACGCTTTTTAACATGAAGCATTGCTACCTAATAGTGTGGAGAATAAAAAAGGATTCAATATTACCAAGAGAGATCAAAAGGAACATGTTGTAACACAGAGCATCAGGTCTGCAGCGTTTTGTTTGTGTGTCTCTGTTAAAGCCCTGTAGACATTACGACCTGCTTTGTCTCTTTTACGCTTGTTTGTATTTGCAGTGCGGTTACAAACCTCACCGTCAGAGCCTCCAGCTACAGAAGCATTTAGGCGGAGGGCAGATTTTTACATTTATTCAAGTCCAGAAAATATCGTGCTTCACTTTAATAATGAATACTTATGAATGCATCCTAAGAAATTATTTGGAAATTTGAAGCTTAACATGGACAAAAGCTTCTACCTTCTGCATCTTATGTTATGTATTTCATTGTATAGTTTTTCAAAGGTCATTTTCAAACTGAAGTTTCTTTGGAAGGTAACTCTCTCTCTCTCTCTCTCTCTCTCTCTCTCCTGTGTCAGGACCCTCCTCAATATGAGACTGTTACACTTGGAGAAACCAGCAAGAACCTCACACTCCAGGTCACCTTCAATGGAGAAACGTCAGAGTGTTTGCAGACGTTTGAAGAGAAGAAGGCCTACAGTCTGATTGTAGACTCTGTAAATACTGGCATCCAGTGCAAACTTGTAAGTGACCCTTAAACGTTTTATCAAAATCTTCACTTTCTTCAAAGGCATTACATTTTAATTTGCAATGGTTATAAATTGTTCTAAATCCACTTTGTCTTCAAATCATCCAGGTGGAAGATAACATACAGAAATCTGATGACGGGAATCCCTTCCTCAGGTTAAAAAAATGGAAACTCAAACACAATATGCCAATCCATTTAAAAATTCAAGGAAATAACAATTTCTCAAGAATTAGCAGCCTTTAAATCAAGTTTGGCTCCCTGGTTCACGGTGGCATCCGGAGGTCAGCCTGACAAACGATTCCATTTGAGGCCTTGTGATCTCTTGCATGAACGAAATGTAAACATCACCCCTTACCCAGACATAATATCAGTACATTGTGTTCTTCTAATTTCACAGGTTCCTAAATAAAGGACCAGATGCAATCACCATACATGTGGGCGATGTGGAGTTCTTAGTGGCATCTGGAGTAATGTCTCTGAACAAGAGCGTCAGTCGGGGAGAGTGAGTAGGACGTCTGTTTAAACGTTTGAACAGCAAATATCCTTAAACAACTTTTGTTCGACAAGTTGTTTTTTTTTAAAAGCCAAAACCTTTGTGCTCTTTACAAAGTCCATGCACACTGCTCAATTTAAATACTGCAAAAACTCTCTACCTCGTATACAGTATATGAATCTATCGGACACATAATAATTACATATGCATATATAATATAAGGAATATATTCTTACATCTATTCTCTGATGTCTGTCCATCACCATGTTCCTCCTGTCTCCTGGTAGATACCCACATGTAACCTGCACCCTACCGTTAGGAGACTGCCCTCATCTCAACCTGGGCCTGCTGGACTTTGGAGCTTCATACACTGTTATACTCATGGAGGTGAGGATGCTTCAAATATAACTCACTTAATAGTCAATATTCCTCGCACCTGTAACACATCATGACAGAACTCTCTCTCTCGCTCTCTCTCTGTTTTTTCTTTTTTTTTTTAAATAAAGGAATCAGGTAAACTTGTTCCTCACAGGATGGTGGATGTTGAAGCCAACAACGTGCACATAGGGTGGCAGATCCCTCAGTACATCCTCATAACTGTAGGAGAGGTGATGTTCTCCATCACAGGCCTGGAGTTCTCCTACTCACAGGTTCGTCATCACACACACTCATTACTCTGTCCCTTGTGTGGCAACTTCTGCTTTGTGGTGTCTGCTCCGGGTATTTATTGAGTATTCATTAGTATCTTGGTTACTTTATAATGTAGCTGATGTGTATTCTATATTGTCTCTCATGTCATGCAGCGTGTATTATTGTCCTCCTGTTATTTATTGTGTATGGCCTCCATAAATGCAGCCGATCATTTTTAAAGGAAGAATGTGTGACTTTTTTCATCCAGTAGATGTCGCCCTTGAGCACCAGCATGAAACCAAAACAAACTGCTGTTTGGCCACACCTCCGCTATTCTGAAGCCTCCGCTCTCCTCCAGCGACACACCTCCAACCCCCCTCTCCACTTGTGTTCCCGCGAGGGAGTTATTAATGATAACGAGAACGCGCCATAATTAGTGCAGCATTAAGCGCAAGCGGGGGACAATGTTTTCCTTCGCTAGAGCTGCAATTGCCTGTGTCTTACATTGATGTGTTAGCAAGCTAATGTTAGCACACTTTGGCTAAGTCATAGCTTCACATTGCACATGAATTGACACAGAACGACTGTGATCTAAACACACTTACATGACATCCAAATAAGCAGCGAGTATGTTATTCTTCTTTTCTCTAGTCCTCGACTATAACAGCTTTATACGCAGGGTCGTCCCGTCCATGTAAACATGATGTGGAGGAGGGATTTCCTCGTCCAGGATAAGCATAATTGAAGCCAGTCTTCCTAAAACACATGCCCAAACTTTGATAAGCTTTCATGTAAGCCTGTGTGTTGTGTCTTGCAACAAAGTTTGGCCCTGCAATTTCTATGTGGTTAGCAGATGAGAACCTTTGTGTAACTGTCCCACTGCCACACCCTATTTATGCCACTTGGTATGAACACACACACACACTCACATAAAAACACACGTGAGCTTATTGCTCAATTTCACCTTTTAAGTAAGAGCATGGGGAAGCAAAATGATGGGGAATATTTCTGTCAAACGATTACCTGACAGGTGGTTATAGATCAAAGCTAAAAAGTTTGCGAGTTTGTTTTTACAGTTCCCTCTCTCTCTCTCTCTCTCTCTCTTTCTCTCTCTCTCGTTCGTCCAGGCTCCAGCCAACATGAAGTCAGTCCTGCAGGCCGGCTGGCTGCTCACGGTCGCATTTGGGAACGTGATAGTGCTGATCGTGGCCGAGGGGGCAGGACTGGAACAGGTATGATTTCATGGAGTTTTCAACTGGATGGAAGTGGATGTTCTTTATATTTTTAAATAATGTTCGTCTGTCTGTCGTTCCTCGAATTCTTGTGAACTGGACATCTCAGGAATGCCTGCTGGGAGTATCTTGAAACTCACTCCAAATGTCATCTTGGACTCAAGGCTGAACTGATTAAATGTTAAAGTCACTGTGACCTTTAAAATATATATATATATTTTTTAGTTTTTACACTCATCATGACAGCATTTCATAGAAATGTTCTGAATGGATCGAACGAGGAAGTTGAAAATAAAAACGAGGAACCATGGCATCATACTGGCTGGGAAACAGTATCAGTTCCTCTTCCCATACTTTTGAACAGACCTGGAGGGAGTTCTTGAGAAAGTGGTTTTTGTTAGCTCACGTCAAATTTATCTCCCATCCAGCCAATTTTCATAAAACAGTTATCATCAGTGTGGAAGTGTGGGGGGAACACATATGAAACAACCAGTCTTCATTCTTCAGAAAAGAGCCAGAAGAATTATTACTAAAACCAACCTACAGAGAACCAACAAACCTACTCTTTATCAAACTGACAACACTGAAATTCAAAGACCCGGTCCACTTTAAAAACATCCAAATCATGTACACAGTAAGAATCTGCCCCCTGAAAGGTTCATTCACTAACCAGTATGTGTCTGTTTTCCCAGTGGATAGAGTTCCTCTTGTTTGCCGGCATGCTGTTGGGCGTCTGCATCATCTTCTCTATCATGGCTTCCTTCTACACCTACGTTGACCCCAGCGAGCTCGACAAGGTCTGCCTCGAGGATTCAGGGAAGGAGGATGACCACGATGACCTGAAGAAAATGACTGATGACATCCAGATGAACAAAAAAGTGAAGAGCACCCGATTGTAACGTTGCTTAATTACAAAGAACAGCCAGCTTCTCTGCTGTGGCTAAAATTGAATTTAGCTTCAAAAGTGAAAGTATTGTTTGAGACACTTTATTTAATTTGAGATACTTTCTGTGATTATGAAGCACTAAGACGTGATCATCGGACATCTCTTCACCGCAAAAACTCAAATCTGAGCGAGTGTATTTGTCTAATTTCTAGTCAGAAATATATTAAACTTATTTCAAGCCACATTAAACTAACAAGTCCAGATAAAATATAGAAAGCCATAAAATTAGGCATGAATTTCTTATAATCAGGGGCGTGCCAGATGGGTGGCATGGGCCCTCCCTAGAAATCTGATTGGCCACCCCAATTTTTTTAATTAACCTTTATTTAACCAGGTAATTAACCCATTGATATCAAGATCTCTTTCACAAGGGTGAACTGGCCAAGAGGGCAGCAGCACATGTCAAGTTAAGAGCAGACAACAATTAAAATGTGCAAAACGTTTCGCAGATTAAGTGCAAAGTTGTGATCACAGATTACAATCCATAAACACAGCCACTCTCCAATGGTCTCGCTTTTTTTTTTTTTCCGTTTTTTAAAATAAACTGTGATTGGCTATTTTCCCCGTCAGAAGCAGGACAGCAGTACAAGTTATTTTTTATTTTTTTGAAAGGCTGCCAGTATTTTTCTTAACATGTCGATGTCTTAAGACAGGTGCGAAGGAAAGTAAGGAACTCTGTCTTACTTGCAATGAACTAACTGGCAATGTGTTGTGTTGGGCCCAAAAATATTGCAAGTTAGACTGTGCAGGACTGTAGGGACTTGGGTTGGGAACTGGAGGGTCACTGGTTCAAGATTTTGGGGACCAAATCTGGAAATTGGTCCGGTAGCTGGTGCCATTTCACTTCCTGACTACTGCCGAGGTGCTCTTGAGCGAGGCACGAACCCTCCCCCCCAACATCAGCTCAGGAGCGCTCGCTGTGGGCAGCCCCCTCACTCTTAATATTTAGCTTAAATTAAGTGTGATTAGATATTTTTGACTAGATTAGACAAATACACTCGCTTAGATGTGACTTTTGGCCCCGGTGTGGTTGTGGAAGTCCAACCTTTGTTAACACTCCAGTCAATACAGAATGTTTTAAACAGAGAACGAGAAAAGTGTTGTCTGATTGAGGCTGAATATATGAAGTAATGTATAAAAGCTGTTTAATATTGTGTACTTTGCCACTCCTAGATCGAGTGTTACTGCAAATGAATTTTAAATATTATATGTTGTACATATTTGTTGGTTTGATTTGTTGGCTCGTCAAAATGTTTTACTTTCTCTCAAGCTAAATTAATCAAAACCCAAACTGCCTTTGATAGAGGATGTCAGAGAAATTGTTCAGTTTACAAATTGGGGTTTTAACTTTGATATTAAAGGACCATAGTTAAAGTAACTTTTGCATGTTTAATTTTTTGTGGACTATTGTACTTAAGCTTAGAGTCCAACATTTGTCCTGTCAACATGATGTTTGTTTAGGATCGCAAAAAGAGGCCATATTTTGTCAAGTCATGACACTGTACACATCGCTTGATCTCTTTCCCGTTTGAAATGTAGCTGTGTTAGCTACGTGTCATTTACAAGGTAGCCACACCCTAAAGGGAACACTCCTTTTAATAGTTAATCCTACTCGAAATGTGATGTACAAAACAAACCTCGTGCTGTGCTGGAGACTTCAAAGGCCTTAAGGAGGCCATAAACTCGTGGAAAATTCTTAACTGATGTGTTTAATCAACTGAGAAGTACAATCATAGACTTTCATTCAAAGGATTTTATTGACCCCCCCCAATGCTAACCCATTTAAACACAACTTTATTCTCACTGATTTCTGCTACTCCAATGCTGCTCACACTGCGGCTGCTTGGGGAGGGGGCATCCTTTGAGGAGAGCCTTCAACGCCAGGTGAAACTGTTCATCCATTTTGCACAAAAAAAACTGTTAAATTTACCAGTTACCAGAATGTTCCTGACCGAATAACTCTGCTTGTAGAGTCAATATCTAAGTCTCACAAGCTGGCAGCTTCCTTAACATGCAGGAAAACAATAATACACATTTGGTTTCACTAAGTTTGCTCAAAGTCTGTCCCCCGTGTTCAACAATAAGAGTCATTTTTGTTCAGTTGGTTCTCTTTGAAAATTAAGTACTAGGATAGCCTTGTGAAAAACTTGCCTGAAATCTTGTATTGTACATGTAATCTGCTTTTTGTTGCTGCTGGAACATGCACTACCAACCGCACGGTCCTTTTAAAGTCATAAGATACTAGACTAACTTTTTTGTGAATCATGCTGCTTCCTATAAAGTTCTGTAAATAGATGTGATGCTGAAACTGGTTTTTGTGCTGTTAAGATCTACAGGATGATTAAAAATGTGCCTTATTATTATTATTATTATTATTATTATTACTTGTTTCTCTGGTTTAATTACGAAAGCAATTTTATACTGTCATGACCAGGCTCTTACAAACTCAACATGGTGCAATGAGGAGCTGTGGTAAAGGTGCCACGCTGGGAGGGAATGAGAAGTTGACTACCCGACATTAAAAAGCCTTAACCTGGGAGACTGGCCAGGTCTGCCCAGGTGTGGCAGAACACCAGGCACCAGCGACGTGTGGGGACACAAAACACACACAGACAGAAGGGGAAAACACAACAGAAGGCCTTGCTGACGGGAGGGCTGTCACATATACCACCATACAAGAGTTGAAATTGATTTCTTTGGTGATAAATCTGTTGATCTCTTCAAACAGTAAAATGTCACACAAAGAGTATTACTCGAGTTATACCACAGGAATTGTTGGTATAAAGCTTACATTTTCTTTTCTTGCACGTTGAACCTTTCTCTCTCTCTCTCTCTGAGATGTGTGACAGCAGACTGATGTCCCCCCCCCCACACACACACACACACACACACACAGCTTCCATCCATCACTAAACCATTACTATCAACCTTCTGCTGCTGTTCGTCGACAATTTTCATAAGCGCACGACAGGAAAACATTACGCAGAAAACAAACGCTCACATCTCGGGAATATTAACTTGAATTATGTGGTTTATTTGCATACCAAATTGATTTAGGGGAGCATATTTCTTGGCCTGGAAGACTCAAACCGGATTAGTATGTGCAGGACAACAAAACAAGGAAGCACTTGATGGCATCTCTCCTCATATTATGATTCGTTTGAGTTGTGGCTCCACACATCCGGGGGCCAATCTCTGTCGGATGAGGGGAGAAAGAAAGACGGTTTCGTCGCAGCTCTCGATCCAGTTAGACAAAAACAAAAACAGCTCCGTTCAGATTCTCTCAGTTCAAGCATTTGAGTATCTCTAGAAGCCAGCACCATTACCAGTAAAGTGAGGAGGTGTTCTTCTTCTTCTTCAGACTCGTTACATGTTACTTAAAGATGGGGAATTACAAAGCGAAGATGGTGCAGAGGTCCTGGAACTTCCTGTGTGCCTTTCCAGTAAAAGCCCTGTAACAAGGGCAATGACATCAGGATGCACCAGGCACTCTAACAGGCCATTAGTGGTTATTGTCGTGTCTGTTGGTTCCTCATAATCCTCTGAATTGTTCTGGGACTTTGTATCTGCACTCTCACATTGTCTACATTGAGTTACACTTGGGTTGACTGCAGATGCAAGCTCTGTTCTCTGTAGTGCATTTGATCTGGCAGTGCAGTCCTCCAGAGATTTGACTTCACAGTCCCTGGAAGGTCGGACATCTTTAGTTGTCAGCCCCCTCGTTTCGGGCGGGTCCTCTTGCCGACAGTGCACAGGGATCAGATGTGGTCCAAAGGGAACTCTAAAAGGCACAGATTCACCTCTCATATCACAGTGTTTCCTTATTTCTCCTCTGGAGTCCCTCTTGACCGGACGTGCGTCTCTCTCATTCTGGGTGTGTTTGCGGTGGCAGAGGCTCCTCTGTTGTTGAGCAGAACTTCTCACTGCCAGGTTTAGATACTGCATGTTCTCATCATGGGATCCTACTCCTTCCTGCAGAAACATCATATAAACGTGTTGTTACAAAGTTCACCAAACATTAGTTTTCATCGAAATATCTTCCTTGTCACCTGCTTAAAGTAGGGTTTTTTTTATATCCAGATGTAACCCATCACTTAGTTTTAGTGAGGAGGTCTAAAAAGGTCACATTGTGGTCATGTTTACTGTGAAAGGAATCGCTGGATTTTAAGATTTGATTAAAAAAAAATAGAGCCTTTCAGAAGAAAATGTCAAACCTCTCTGATAGCCTTTTTTTAGTCGACACATATTAGAGACCTTGGAGTTTATAAAGGAAACAGATACGCTCTTTAGCACTATTCACTCATACAAAATTTTCTCAAAAGGTCACCAAATTTTCGGGTAGAGCTGCATGTGTAAATACAATCAGCCAACTTTTTTTTTTATCTCAACTTTAACTAGATTTTTTCTCCCATGCCCCCGCTAAAAAGTCTGCAAGAAGTCGGGCTCACCTGATGTGTGAATGCAGCAGGTGATATGCAAGTGGGAAAGAGTGATCACCTGTGTGACCTTTGTGCATGCAATGAAACTGTTACATAATGTTTTTCTGCTCCCCAGTATGTTCTTCTCTGCACTTTACGTCAAATTACACATCATAATCGCTCTTTAACAAGCAATTCAGTTTTTCTTTTTTCGTGGAGCTGCAAGAGGTAGAACTCAGAGCGTTATTGATCTGAGGGAGTCATAAGCTAACAGAGAAATGTACTACTGTACCTCAGTTGGATTGAGCCAGTTGTCGGCGTTGTCGTCACTCGGTGCACTTTTCAGAGCACAGACAACGGCCTTGGTCACAGCTTCACTGACCCTTGCAATGTGATCCACCTCCTGTGCGGAACCGGGAAGTCAGACAAAGAATAAGTCAGTCAGGCATTACCAGAACGAGTGCTGCATGTCTAGATAGTTCCACAGAGTGATAGAGACACAGTGTGGAGGTTTACTGCAAGCGCACAGTGACCTTTGCAGGGAAAGAGGGAGATGCACCCGCTCTTTGAATAAATACCTATCTGGCGGTGGGGAGATTTTTCTTGCACTCACCCTCATCTTGAAAAATAGACACTGTTAAGAGTAACTTAAAGAGAGCTTGTGTGAAAAAATTGTTGCTTACCAGCTCAATCCAGGAGTTGACGCTGACGGTGATGGGATCCACAGACTCAACGTAGTGCCACCAGTGTCTGGGGACATAGAGCACCTGCACAGATTAAAAAAAAACAACTTCTCAGTTTAGGTCAGTGATTAAATTGCACGACACCAAGGCTAGAGCCATCGAAGAGCCGCCCTGAGCCATTTCCTGCATGTAATCCCCCACTCTCTCATCCCAGTTTCTGCCTCTATCAACTCTCCTGTCCTCTGAATAAATGCACAAAAGCCCAAAAGCGATTCTTTAAAAACCTCTCGGCAGCTTAAACGGATAATCGTTTTGGTAACATCACATTTTGTCTCCAAGCCTCTGTGATAAATCTGAAGGGTAAACAGTACCACGCTGATCACCCACTAGATGGCAGCATGCTCCTTCTCCCCACAGGGTGTCAGTGGTTCATCCATTCATAAAGTTAGTCTATTAAAAATGGCCGATCCTTATTGATTCCCTGCCTCCTCAGCAGTCCTAATTCATTCACGGCCTGTGGTCTGACAAGACAAGATGGATGATCGGTTCTTCCTCTGGATTTGCAGCGATGGAGTCATCCTGAAGGAGATTTATCTTTAACATCCATTCTGTGTCAACAGCTGATGTTTGTCATAATAAATCCAGATGCCGACAGCATGTAGGCAAGGCACATTGAAATCGAATAATTCAACATTGTAGAAGTGTTAGAATCCAGTGATACACTTGAGAATCTTGACATTATGATTGGTCACTATGTGTCAAATCTCCAAAACACTGTTTCCAGTTTGATTGTTAACATGAAAAGGATAATAGCAGTAGTTAATAGTGAGTTGTATTCAAACCCCTGACCTTAGTTGGCATGATTTAAATCAATCAGGGATCTCCTTTTCAAAGGGAGACCTATCCAAGAACAGCATCAACACACAGTTTCAACAACAAAAACACTCAAACTCACACAGTGCACATTTCATAGTAAGAAAACCATCGGCTAAAACTGCTGCATACAGAAAGTCTGGATTCAAGAGTTGTCACTACAGATCTAAAAACATTCAGGGTAACTAAGTTTTGCAGTTTAAAATCAGTGGGATTTTAAACTGCAAAACTTAGTGAGCGATTTGCTCCATTAACACCTTGGTCTAACTGAAGTCAGAAGATATTTGTTGCAGAGTTACGGCATTACACTCTGTTTGGTGTTGCTTCCATCAGCGGCATAATCACCATCATTTCCTTCAGATAAAATAAGCAAACCTCCCGAAGCATCACCTGTGACCCCGACC